GCCACGCGGAGCGGCGCGGCCCGTGACGTCACTGGAGCGTGGTGGATCGCCTCAGAGGCCGCCGCCGCCGCCTCGCCCGGCAATTTGGTGTCATTTTTTACACGGGAATGCACCCCTCTCCCCGCCCTTCCGCTTCCCCGGGAACGAACGCACTTGGCGCCGCTGTCACCGCCGGACGCTGAGTGAGATTAATAAGGCGGTGCGCGGGCAGAGGAGGGGGCCGAGATGGAGGACCCGACGAGCGAGGCGCGGGCGGGAAACACGCTGCTGGATGTGCGAGAGGGGTCCGGTCGCGTCAGAGCGCGGAACTGCGTAGCGGGGAAAAAGCATCAAGTAGAAAATACTCATTTCAAAATTTTGTTACCTATTTTAGGTTTCTAAATTATCACTTTTTTGTGCCTAAACTTCCTAGGGTAATTATCATCTCCGTAGGTGTGAATGAGAGGGAGAAGGAAGGATGAACAATAATGATCGTAAAGGACTGCGAAACGATATTTTGAAGCATCGTAATCTTCCCAAGATAAACAGAGACACTCATTACTGGTGTAGTGTACAGATGCCAGAGCTGGAGCATTTGTTATAAAGAATTTAATACAGTGGTCAGCTAAGATCGACTAGGAAAAATTCGCCCTTCGTATGTAAGGTTCTGACAAGCGATGGGATACCCTTGGCAGGTTGAGTCCTAATGGCAGACAAGAAACGGGAACCGAGATGTGGATGTCACCAGTTTCCCCGAACGTCAGCACTGAATATTACATAAATCGTAGGCTCGTCCTCTTCGTAGCGTAGCCCATAATAACGACCCACATGATCGCACTGCCAGCGGCAGCATCCCTGGCATCTGCGAGCACTGCGGGGCGTCCACGTGCCCGCGAGTCTTCCGCAGAAGCAGGAGGCGCCGCCGCTGGCCTTACTCGACGGCGTCCCAGCGGCGCAGCGGGCCGTGCACGCGCATGCTGTCCATTTGCGACCCGCAGCGGGGGGAAGGGGGGTGGCTAGGGGCGGGAGAGAAGCGAGGAGTTGGCTGGGTAGCGCTACGGAGGGGACTAGGCGTGGGGGCGAGTTCTCGTGTTTGGGCGGGACGGTCCGGGATGAGATGGAATGGGGATGGAGAGACACGGGGCGGGAAAGGTAGTGAACGGGATGGGACAAACGGGACGGGACGGGACGGGACGGGAGGGACGGGACGGGAGGGATGGGATGGGATGGGATGGGATGGGATGGGATGGGATGGGATGGGATGGGGTGAGACGGGTTGAGATGAGGCGGGAAATAGAGAAGGGGGCGGGCTCCACCTTTTTGAAAGCCTGCAGTGTGCTCAATCCCGAATTCCCAGAAGGCGTTTCAGAGAAACACACACACTAGTCCCACGTTTCTGCGAAAGAAGCCAAACCTCTGCGTCGTATTTTATGTTAAATACGCTAACATGGTTGTACCTCCTACAAAGCATCATAATATGCAAAGAGTAGGAATTTTCAATACGAATCTGGTTGTTAAATAGAATTATGCTTATACGATATGCTTCCTTATCACATAGCACTACCCCCGACTGTTTTCTAAATTCAAGATCAACCTTTTTTAATTCTGCATCCACTATTAATAGGATGTGACCAATAACCAAAATGAGATGAAGTGAAATAGGTCCGTAGGCGACTTGCTTATGAAGTTAATTTATAGACAAAACTTCACAGCGGAGAAATGTCTGGAAGGGCTGAAGTAGATAATCGGGGCAGAGCGAAGCAGTCCACAACAAACGGACGACGCGAAAAGGAGTAGAAGCTTACGCGTTCACAAGTCCTCCGGCGAACACCAAAGCGCTACTCATCGCTTTAACAGCCCAGGACATCCTGGCATCGCCAGGAAATGTCCTCCGTAGTAAAACCACCCGGACAACGCGACGTGCGCCGCCGGAGATGACAAAATAAAGAGGATACGTCACAAAAAAAGGGCCGTGCAGAAGGCTCGTAAATGAGGCGACCGAGCGAGCAAAGGTAATGCAGAAGGAAAAATGTCATGATAAAGTAAAAACAATAACTTAAAAGAACACGGTAAGATTTTAAACTACTGAATACTACAAAGAATGAATACATAAAAGTCGGTCCTTAAAGAAGAAATATTCTAAAGAAAACCAGAACAATACATCCCAGCTCATTTGCTTCTCATGGCACCAAGCAATGTTATCCTTAATTCAATTGAATAGCAATAATAATAATAATAATAATAATAATAATAATAATAATAATAATAATAATAATAATAATAATAATAATTCGAGTACCCTGCGTACCGAGAGTCCGTGAGTTGGTGCGTCACTCATGGTTTGTCCCCTCCGGTCCACCAACCAAAACACATGAGGTGTCATTCGACGCGGTCTACTGGCAGGAAAGCGATCGTTTCTAGATGTTCCAAACACAACATTCCAAGAAATGTCACTAAAAAGCACTTTTTTGGCTTTTCTAAGCAACTGGAACAAATCTGAGGTGAATTGCGTTACCTACGAAAATGATCAATAGCTCATTCGATTCCTATCCACAGGACGAATCGACTGGTACAATTTTTAGGCAGATTCCTCCAGAATATTTTGGAAGATGTTCCAAAAACCATGTTTTTTGATGGTGAAATATATATATACGAGTACACCGATTAAACATTGTGAGTTACTTTACTCTTTTTCCAGCATGCATGCAAATCTAACATGAAATACGTAGATGATTGATCATGCTGATAATTTCTATAATGACACAAAAATTTAATGAAGTATACCGATACCATTTTATATTAGTTTTATGTACGAAAATGGAAAATCTTGTAATACTGGGCCACACTCAGCTTGTAATAATGTCACATGACAACAGGGAATTTACACTCTATATGAGATCTGGGGACAGAGTAAACCTACATTAGAATTCAAAATTTATTGAGATCGGAGTTCCCTCTCTCCATGGACCGACCATTTTGCCTTTGGGGATCCATCGAGTCACTGCCATCGTCAGTGTTGTCGGCATACATTCAACAGTAGCAATTGTGACTAAGGAAACCACAGAGACCACAGCAGCAAACAGCATTGTGGATGCAGCGTGCATACATCAACTGTCACAACTTCCAGCAACCACCGGAGCAACAAGACCTATGGCAACAACAATAACAACTGCAACCACACTGTAAGCCCTTGTACAAACGCCACTTCCACTATCAGCGTTGCTGACTGCCACCGAAAGGAAGTAACAAGGAAGATAACAATGGCGGAACAGGAAACAGAACTACTGGCCATTGCGCACATGACAACAACCAGGCAACAACAAGCTCAACAATAAAAAACCCAGTAGCACTGCAGGACATTTTTCAAAACTTCCACCGCCGCAGTAACAACAACTAGGGTTAAGACCATGGTGGCATCGGAATCAGAACTAATGTACATTGCGCACATCCACCACCACAATACCCAGCAGTCAAGAACAGCAACAAGAATAACTATGATCACGACAAGATCATCACCAACAACACCAACAACCGTACAGCAGGTCTTTGCGCAAAACTGCCACTGACGGCACCACTTCCACCGCCACAGCTGCCGGCAGCCACCGAACAGGCAGTAAAGACAAAGATAACTACACGACTTGCGCTTGCTGGTTGCTGCCGTCGCGCCATGCACCGCGAGTCTCCACAAACACCAACGCCACCGCCACCAATCACCCATCACCACTATCACGCCATCCACCACCACCCCCACCAACCATCATCACTATCACTACCACCACCACCATACATCACCATCATTCGCCTCTATCATCACCACCGTCAGTCAATGGATACCTCAACTGCAACCGTCCATTACTTCCCACCTCAGATAGTAATACCGCGTTTGCTATCGCCACAAAACACCTGTGCTTCGCCATCATCACGCCGACGCTTCCAACGAGGCCAGTTTCAAACGAATCTTCACTGCGGAGAATTCATTTTTCGTCACGGTGATAACGCTAATGAGCTTCGCCCTCATTCGTCCCCAGCCTCTCTTCAAATGCAAGAGAAGGATAACGACCGCGGGTGCGATGGAAAAAAGTGTGCGGAGGCGTGTCCCCCTTCGTCCCACTGCAGAGATTCTTTCTCTCGGCCAGCGCCTTTCCGCATGTAGTTCCCCTGCCCAAAACAGTCCGTGGTCTTCAATTGCCCCGGGGCTTAATGGCGCGTGCAGCGCAGGGGCAGCACGGGAGCGACATTTCACAGAATACAGTTGTAGTATCCACCAAATCACCACGACTATCACCGCCAGATGCCACCATCCACACTTCATCCCAATACTAATACATCCATCACCCCACCCTCTCACCCCCGCCATCTTCACACCGCCTCCCAAGACCTCACCAGCACCCCACACTCTCACCCTCGCCACTCACCACCAGCACCACCGTCATTCTCATCATCATCATCACTGACCACCATCACCAACAGTACACCAGGCGAATATCTGAGCAGAGCCGTAACAAAAACGAACCACGAATCCCGCCGACTTTCCTTCCTTCCCTTGCTCTATCCTCACCACCTGTCATATACCACGCTTAATTGCAGTACACACATGCGGATGCCGGTCGGAGTTAGAGCTTCTCTCGGCTGGGCGGTGGTCAGGATAACCCCTTTGTGAGATACCAGGCTGGGAGAAACCTTGGTGGTCGCGCCGATCTCGCCACCAGTGGGGAGATCTCGCCCCCCGATTGAAAAACCGCGTTACCCTTATTGGCCTTAAATTGACCTTAACATTTGATGCACCGCGAATCACCAAACATAGATCGATAAAAAACCTCAACACCACTACCACCATCACCACCACCACCAACCTCTAACAACCATCACCACAACCACCCTCTACCACCAGTCACCACCACCATCACCACCTCTACCACCACCACACCACCACCACCTGTACACACCTCTTACCACCACCTCTACCACCAACCATCACCACCTCTACCACACCACCAACCGTCTACACACCACCGACCCCTCTACCACCACCACCACCAACCTCTACCACCACCATCACCAACCTTCTGACCACCACCACCACCACCACCTCTACCACCACCACCACCAACCACACCACCTCTAACCACCACCACCACACCACCACCGCCACACGCCAGTCAACAAAACGGCCCGCCATTGCTACCGTCCCCCCCCACACAACACGCCACTCCGTACCCGCCGCCGCGTCTCCCTCCCCCTCCCCCCCTTCCGGCCCGAAGTCTTCTTCGGCTCGCCCGCGGGGCTAATGCCGCCGTTGTTCGCCGGAGTGCGGCCCGCGCGCCGGAATCCGCGGAATAAATCCGCGGGTGTAATGCGCGGCGACAGGTGGGCGCATCCATCGCCGCCGTAATAAGCACAATGGGCGCGGCGCGCCTCATTACCGCGAGGCCGCCTGCCGCTCGGGCCGCCGCGCGCGGTAATTGCTGTATCTAATTCGAACACCTCGCGGCGGCGGATATTTCGCATGGCCGCGCCCGACGTCGTTGCTGCTGTTCGAGAGCTGCCCGCGCCGAAGTTTGCGCAATGTTCCTGTGTTTGTCGCCGCTCCCGCCACCGCTGCCGTCTTT